TCACCTCGTCCTCAGGTTGCACATTATGAGGTGTTAAGGGTTGGGTACCGACCTCCTCACTTGGGGGATCCATCCTTTCCTCTGGGGTGGGAGTTAATGGCCTTGAATGAGACCGTAAACGTAGTCCTGGTGCCATCTGTTGTTCCTGAAAGAACATAATGAAACAGTGAAAACGATATTTAAAACAGTTAAAATATATTTGATGTGTAAGATATGTGAAGAAGAAATGTAAATAGTAAAAGACATGTTCACACACCAATATAAAATAATGTGTATAATACCTCGCGGTCAAAGGAACCCAAGGACTCATTATCATTGTCATCCTCACTCTCTGAAGGGTTATACTCAACATCATCATTTACCTCAACCCTAATTCCCTTTTCCCTTGCAGTTGCACATTTGGGCTGAACCACACTCCCTAAAGAATTTGTAATATTCTTCACTCCAAGATTGTTCATTACCTCACAGTTCTCCATGATTTGCTTATTTTTTTTGTTTCTCGTATTCTGTTAGCTTCTTAGTTCTCAAATCACCTGGTTTCAACCATTGTTTTTTGCCTCGAACCATTTTCTACAACTATATAACATAATTCAACTTTAATTGAAAAATATAGACAATGTCATCATGCACCATTACATAAAAGAAGAAAAAGAAAGTAATATAATCATATAAAATAAAAATTACATTAATTAATAACATCTGTTCGAAAATAAAGTGATATACTAAAAATTACATATCATAATCCATATCAGGATCCATATCAACATCAGGAATGTTATGGTCTTCATCTCTTTCATCATCTCTATTCTCTTCCATTATCGCATCTGATGACCCTACTTCCGAAATAACATTGAATTCAACATCATCCCTACAGTATCAAACAATTGGGTCAATGTCAATTGGAACAACATCAGTAATGTTTTCTTGTTGGAACACATCATTATTTTCTAAAGGATTCAATAATTCTCCATCACTAGTGTCTGGAACATCAAAGACACCCCTATGTTGCACCCTTTGTACGACATTCCAAGGTTCACCCAATTTGGTATCATTCAGATAGAAGACTTGCTTAGCTTGACTAGGTAGGATAAATGGGTCAGATTGGTACCACCGACTTGTGACGTCAATGCTTGTGCAATATGTATCAAATCGTATTGTTCTGTTTCTACCAGTGTTACCGGTGTTGTACCATTCACACTGGAACAAAACAACCTTTTTACCACATATGTAGTCAAATTCCAAAACCTTGCACAAGTGACCGTAGAAGTCATGCAATTTTCCTTCATGATCCCCTTGTGTAAGCACACTACTATTCTGACTCGTACGACGGTTGTCTATCTATGGAACCGGCTGCTATTGATTATGCAAACCTGAATACTCTTTCACTAGCAAATTAAGACCATTTGCTAATGACCACAATTCATCAGTTGCCTCTAATGACTCTTCTATTCTCAATCTATTTATCTACAATTACATGTAACAAACAAAAAGTAAATAATTTATGAATGAGGACATTTCATAAAACTTTAATTTTGTTAAAGTTGTAAATGTCGAAAAATTATAAATATTTTACCCACTCTTGGAGCCACTTGGGAAATTCTTGTCGTTGTATGTGGGTTATGTCATGTCCAGCTTGAGTTTGTAATAGATTTTTGTGTTCCCTACTAAAAAAAAAAAGTGATTACTACGTAGTTCGGCAAATAAAAAAGCTAAGCATAAACATAATTCGATGAAACACATACTCCAAATACTTTTCAATCTCTGGGCTATTGTACAATACAAACCAATGAGCAATATCACGAATTTCTTGAGACATTTCAGCATCTCGTGTGATTAGACCAATTGGACGTGCAGTTTCTGTGAATACTGTCAACCCTTGTTGACATTCACCGCGATCTTCATTCCATTCTGGTCGATTATGCACGGTTTCAATCCCATCAACATACATTGAACAAAAAATAATGCACTCTTTGACAATGTAAGCCTCGGCAATTGAACCTTCTGGTCAAGCTCGGTTGGTCACATATTTTTTTAATGCTCCAAGAAACCTTCAAGAGAGATCGAATTAGGAGTATAATTACATATGCAACACACTTATGTAAATCTTATTTACAAGTACAAGTGTAAAAAATACCTTTCAATTGGGTACATCCATCGATATTGTACAGGTCCTCTAAGAATAGCCTTATGAGGCAAATGAACAGCCAAGCGGATCATCACATCGAAGAAGGCTGGAGGAAAGATCTTTTCAAGCTTGCATAAAATGTGTATTATACGTTCCTCTAATTTCTTCAGTTTGCTCCGCCTTAGTGTCCTAGAGCATAGGTCTTGGAAGAAATTGCCTAAATCAAAAAGTGTTGTGCTAATTTCTTTATCCACGCAACCACGCATTCCAATGGGAAGAATTCTTTGTATTAGTACATGGCAGTCGTGGCTTTTTAGGCCTGTTAGTCTACCATTTCTTGCATTCACTGATTTGGATATGTTTGCTGCATACCCATCTGGATACTTGACAGTTTTTAAAAATTCAAAGAAACTCTCCCTCTCTGCAGGTGTCAATGAAAGATTGTTCGAGGCTTGACATATGATCCATTGGGTCGTTGTGTTAGCCAAAGCTCTTTCCTTATACCCATATCTTCCAAGTCTAACCGTGCCTTGTCTGTATCCTTGTTCTTTCCATCAATGCCTAACATAGTTCCGAAAACATTTTCACTAAAATTTTTCTCCACATGCATGACATCAATGTTGTGTTGAAGTTTTCGCTTCTTCCAATAGGGTAACTCAAACAAGATGCTTACCTTTGTCCAATTAGGTGCTTAACGGGGCTTTTTCTATTACTTGGATGCTTTCCATATATGACACCTGCCACGTTGTCCAACTGGTCTTGTATCTTTTTCGCCGGAAACTCCAAAGATCTCTTCCGTTTCTAAATCTTACCATTGTAAGCCCTACTCTTTCGCCTTTCTGGGTGGTCCTCAGGCAAGTAACATCGATGGTTAGTGTACCCCGTCTTACTTCTCTGAGATTCAAAATACGGTTCATCATTGCAACTGTAACAAGAATAATGACCCTTTGTTCTCCACCCAGATATGTCACCAAATACAGGCCAATCATGTATTGTCCACAACAAAACTGCATGCATTCGAAAAGTCTCATTGGTGGAGGCGTTATAAGTCAATGCACCATTTTTCCATAAATCATTCAACTCATTCACCAATGGTCGCATATAGACGTCAATATCAATCCCTGGTTGCGATTCTCCAGGAATAAGTAATGACATCAAAGAAAATGGATCCTTCATAACCAACCATGGTGACAAGTTGTATGGAATGAGTATGACGGGCCACAAACTATAAGAGTTGTTCATGTTCCCAAAAGGGTTAAACCCATCAACAGCCAACCCTAGCCTCACATTTTACGGCTCCAAGGCAAACTCGGGATGTTGTGCATCAAATTCCTTCCACTCATCATTGTCAGCGAGATGCCTCAATATCTCATCGTCCACTCGTTTGTTTTTGTACCATCTCATGTCCTTAGCCGTCTTCCTTGACATGTACAATCTTTTCAATCTTGGTGTCAAAGGAAAGTACCGCAATACTTTATGAGGGATCTTCTTACCCCTTCCATGATTGATCTTGTATCTAGATGTCTTACAAGTCGGACATTTATCTAGTGTTGCATTCTCCTTCCAAACCAATACACAATCATTTATGCAAGCATGAATGAGCTCATATGACAAGCCCAAGTCACGTAGTATTTTCTTAGCTTCATAAGTTGACTTTGGAACCAAATTTTCTTTCAGTAAAAGTTTACTTAAAAACTCTAGCATCATATCAACTGACTTATTGCTCCAATGATTTGTTACCTTCATATTAAGCACCTTAATCAGAAACTTCAACAAAGTATAATTTGTACAATTTTTGAACAGCTCACACTTGGCATTAGTCAACAATTGATCAAAAGTTCTCATTTCCTCCCCTTGGGTTGTATCAGTCAATTTCCCTCTTATTCGATCTTCCACTAAGGCTTCAATACCACCTACAATTTCATCACCATCAAGTCGCATCTCATCATCATGGTATGCCTCGTTTGAAACACGGAGTTCCCCATGCTGGTGCCATACAATGTAAGTTTGCATAATCCCATATTGGAGCAAATGAATTTCCACATTTTGAAGATTTTATCTACAAACATTCACACACTTTATACATGGGCACAACAGATTACCATTTTGATCTATAACCCCCATTGCAAATTGAAGAAATAACTTCACCCCATCATTATATGGTTTACTCATCCTTCCATCAGCTGTCCTACCTAGGGCAATCCAACTTTTATCCATGTCTGATCACAAATGAAAGATTAGGAACAATATAGTATAATGTAGACTGGTGTATTTATGAACTAATTAAATTGAAAAATTCAATAACAACTTCAGCAAATATATGTCCAGATCTTTAATGAAGATTCTTATACAAGTTGCACCTACTAACCTAGGCCCCTTCTAAAAACATACTAGCTAGTGCAAGAGCATACTTGATACTACCTAAACATAACATTACTACTACTACTACTACAGAGACCAAAGAGGCATGGCTTCTAATACATGTAATGCACTGCCACTGTCAAAAGGCCTAAAATATGCAGCCTATATATATGCAGCAGATAGGATTGAAATTGAAGTATTAATAGGTTGTATATTCAAACATAACAGCCTATATATAACAGGTTGTATATATATATATATTTTATATGTAAAAAAATATGCAACCAGTGAGAGAGAAACTGAGGAATGATAGGTAGGGATCAACCAAAAAAGAAAAAATTGAGACTAACAGCGGTGGTGTTCTCCAATTATAGTTATATTTTTAGGGCCATAAAGCCTCACTAGTGGTCCAATAAAAAAAAAACCATAGGAATCTACGTAAGAAACAAATCTCTTTTCTCAATAGACAATTTAACTGCTTTTAGTAAACTTTTTTTTTTTTTTTAAATTATGATTTCACAATAATTAAGTGGACTATATTTCTTATTTATTGCAAGTATTTTTAACATATAGTCACCAATGGCGTTTTAATAGGAAGTCGGATTAAATTTTGGGGGGGCCATCACATGAGTAATCAAATTTTGAAGGGCAACTCTCACATAGAGTGAGCTTTCCAAAAAAATTGGCAGCACTGGAATGAGTTTGGAGGAACCATTACATGGTATACAAAAAAAAAGCATTAACATACTCTTCAGGTTAAATTGATTGTGCAAGAACTAAACCAAGATACCGAAGTAGCTAAAACTGACATGTCATTAGAGAAGCTACTCCCCTCTTTTGGATAACAAAAGCAAAATTCAATACCCCAATGATCAATATTGGATGCAAAAGACTTCTCAAGGTTCATTGAATGTTAACCAAGAAACATATGTCTAATAAGCATGTGCAAGGACCAAGTTTTTGATCCCTCACTTAGACAAAAGTTCCTTGACATAAAATGAAGCATAATTCAAAATTAGAAATGTAAGAGTTGATTTCCATTTGTTGAAAATTGTTAATCTGACCTGTAAGGGTAAGTCACTGTGCAAAGATTACCTTAGAAAGGCAATCTACATCAACACATGATATCATTGAACCACAGTGCACTCCTTCCACAAGGTCAAACTTGTAACAAAAGTCTTCACGAAACAACCACCCAAATCCCCCTAACCGACAATTTTATCGTGCCCTTAAGACATTCCATTTCTCCAATTTAAAATTAGGACCATTGCCAACCTGTCCTATTTTGAAAAACTCTTTCAATCATCAATGTGTTCATGTAAAAACCAGAAACAACCAAAGACTTGGCGCTCCCATTTCTATCAATGATCCAACATTCATTTAAGATGGTGATACTGGTAAGCATGTATATATATACATACACACATATAATGCAGGTAGACATAATTATATTTAAATTAATGAAAAAGAATAGGGCATAGCATATTTTCATCCATTTATAAATATGTAATAATATTATCTAAAAACGTGGACAGAGGACCATTATAAACTCAACTTATGGGAAAAATCCACTTATATTCTTTAAGCATCGAGAGAGAGAGACTAACAGCGGTGTTCTATGATCGGCACAGAGCGGCGGTGAGGAAAGGAGGGGCTAACGGTGGCGATGGTGAGGGCTGTCGGCAGTGAGGGCTTTCGGAAATGGTAGAGCGGCGGTGGGTTGATCCAATGAGCAGCGGCGGTGAGGGCCCTGTGTAGTATAACGTCTATGTGTGTGTATGTGTGAAATAGGTTTGAACCGAGAAATGATTGTGTGTGATTGAGAAGAGGAACCGATTGTAACAAAACATTTTTATTTCCCCCTAAAATATTTAGTGACTAAATTATATTTTGGTGACAAAATTATTTCTTCACCAAAGATAAAAATATTGGCCACAAAAATAGTTGTCACTAAATGATATTAAAATATCACCAAATTATTGGTGACAAAAGTATATTTGTCATTAATAAATTTATAATTGCTGACAAATTTTTTTGTCACCAAAAGTTTATTAATTTTGGCGCCCTCCGAAAATATTAGCGGGAAAATATTTGGTGACAAAAAAAAAATGACAAAATATAATTTCGTCACCTATTTTTTTTTATTATGATTTAGATTGGTGATGAAATTTTATTTTTGTCTCTAAAAATGATACATTTGGAGATGAAACATGATTTTCGTCATTAAAAGATACATATTTCGTGACCAAAAAAAATTCGTCATTAGTTTTTGTCTCTATATACTATTTTTGTTGTAGTGTAGTAAGCATTCTGTTGGAGAATGCAAGTACCTAGTAATAGAGGTGCGAGCCATGCAAGATTATGTATGGCAGTTGGAGACATTCCCAATAGGAGAAGCAGTAACACTCTAGAATGCTTGATGGAATGGAGGCGTGTTGGACAACGGCGTTTTATCACCTATATGGTTGATGGGGGTGATAAATTTTGTTCACCAATTGGAAGCCAATTAAAGACCTTACAGAGTCAGTTACAGAGGTTATCAGTTCATTTGGAGACTATCGGGTCAGTTGCAGAACTTCAAACTTCATTGGGGTATCTTAGAGGATAAAGAGAACCGACATTGACAAAGTGTGCTACAGAGATTTGGCATGTAAAATAAGTCCAAATTGTAGTACTTTATTGGCATTGGCCTCTGTGGAGGCATTGAAGATCCTTTATGTATCATTATTGGAAGATCTGCATTTGGTGAGGCATTGGTATTCGTATTTGTCTATTTAAAAGAGAAGTTGTGGCAATCTACTTCAGATCTTGGTGGAGCTTTGGCATTTTTTTTTTCAATGTCTACTGAGACATTATTCTTGGTAGTCTTTCACGGATTATTGGTGACTTTTTTCAGAGTCGTGGTTTGTTAAGATTCACTATCACAGTTGAAATCTATGATCGTGTTTGATTAGATCCAAGGATGTCTTTGGTTTGTGAGAGTTGATCGTTTCTTTCTCTTGTGGATTTTTTTTTTTTTTTTTGCAATCTGCTTCATATTCGAAGACATTAGCTATTGGCAATTTGGGTGACGATTCAGACTCCGGATGTTTGCTTCCGTGAAAGCGGTGTGACCGCTGGTGTTCATTGAAGATTGAAGAAGATTGTTGAGAAGAAACATGAAGATAGTGATTTTGAATCTCATGTTTTGGGATCCATCCCTCAATCTGCCATTGGATTTGGAGGAAATAGATGGTGTATTGACCCAGTGGAGTCAGCGGGGACTGTTGGAGTTATGTACCTACGATGCATGCGCCTTTGGGCAGTTTTGGCAACTATGAAGATGGTGCATCATCTTGTATCTACCGGTTAGAATTGCAGTTGGAGGAATCTGGAGTTTGCTCGACACTTCAGAATGTTTGGCTTTTGGTATTTTATTAGTTCGTCTGAAGTTTGTTCTGATACTTTCGAACTGGTTATAGCCTAACTGCATCCACAGTCCAATTTTGTTTGGTGAAGAACTTTCCTCGGTTCTTAAAGTAGTTGTTTAGCTCTCTTGATTAGTTCAAGCTACTAGAGAGCAGATTTGGGTTCAATGGTTGATTGAACTGGAAGTTTTATGGTACCGCTTTTGAAGTTACTTTTACGGAGAATTTGAAGCCTCTCTTGTTTAGTCTCCTCAGCATTGGTTCAAGCGGGGTTGTTTACCATGATTTGTTTGGAGTTGTCTAAGACAACTTGTTTGGCATATGTGGAAATTGGATCATGGCACCGTGGTGGAGCTTGAGTTGCAGAAAATCAGAAAGCTAGCTCAATTTGTTCTACATGTTCTTTGCATTGGCTTAATGTGATTTTGAGCAATGGAATTTGCTGTGTTTTAAAAAAGCGCTCGTGTTTTGTACAGCAGATGGCATTTAGTTTTCACTGGATGGTTTTGGTTTCGTGAAGGCGAACACACCTCCTGGTGATATAGAGTAGTTGTGGATCTCTCAGGCAAGCTCAAAATGAGAGATGGAGCCACGATGAGCATTCAAGGTATATGAGTGTAGATACTATGCTAGGTGTTGCATAGTTAGTGACTTATACAAACCTGTTAAAGCTGCTTTGGCAGAAGAAACTACTATCAACCATCAGTCTGGTAGTACAAATGAGAGATGCATAGGTAATGCATATCACTGAACTGGAGATCAGGGATTGCAAAAGGTATGAACTTTGGAAAGTTGTTCAGGAGTGCAAAAGGCAAATATTGATAGCTTAGAGGAAGCTTCAAGCAAAGAAAACTAGGAATGTTAACCAAGCAAACAAAGAGTTTTATGTTTCTCTAGTGTTGACCGTGCAAGGTGATACATGGCAAGATAGTGGCATTTTAAAGAAAGAAACCACAATGTCACAGAGCACTCAAGGGAGTGCAAGGCATCCCAGGCAGGGGGTGTTGTGCATCCAATTAAGGGGTGCCAAATATTTTGATCACGCAATTTTAAGCATGGCAAGTGGAGACATCTGTGACAGGGAAATATGGAAGAGATATGTGTGAGATAGAATAGGGCTCTCTCCAAGAGAGATTCAGATAGTGGTGTGAGTCGAGTTGAGGATGTTGGATTCCATCATTCTCTTGTATTTTTGTATTTCTTTGGTATTTATCTTTAGTTTCTGCCATGGACACTCGAATGAGGGGTTGTCAGGTATTTTGTCAAGGGATGCAGGTGTCTCAGTGTGGAGATGCAAACTTTGCTAGTTTTGGGTGTGACAAGTTGGGCAACAGGTTTTGTTGCAGATCATCTCACATTGGTTAAGGGGATGATTGTTGTGAGGTCACCCTATGTGAAAAGGGTGATCATTTTTCTTCTTTCTTCCTCCATTCCTCCATGTGAAAACAG